TAAAACCTAGGACTTGGGAAATCTGAATTCATATTTTCTGTCAAACATCCTTTGTGCTTCTAGATAATAATTCACTAAAGTGGCCATCTACATTTCCAGAGCCTTCACGACTAAAAGCCATGCATACGTATTAAGAACAGCAGTACTTATTTTAGGCATTCATACAAGCAGAAGCTAAACTGACAAAAAGCAGTCTTCTGTCTGCATAGTCAAATCTGTAACTGAGGTTTTCCCAGCTTCTACAATTTAGAGTGCAGTATTTTCATGTTCCCAGCCAACACAAATACCATTAACAACACGTCTTAAATAACCAAAATCATCAGTGAATGCTTTCTTATTTATTAAAATACTTCACACCAATCTCAAAGGTCTCTGCACTATTTTTATAGATCATATCAGGTTTGGTATAATAGATATTCCAAGCAGTGTCGCCTTTAATTTCCATTCACAACAAATTACCTCATTGAGCACTTCCATGATTTCTTTGTCATAGCATTCCAGAAGCACCTCATAAGATTCCAAGTGTCTTGCATGCATCATAGCAGGTACACAGTCCCGCAGTGCACTAAACATATACTGAAAAAAAGACACTATTATGCTTAACCAACAGATTGACAGACATGTCAACAGCATCTCAAATAGTGTTTGAAGCTAACAAAAAAATCAAAACCGCTAGTCTTCGCACTTTTATTAAAAACAGACTTCATAAACTCTACTGAAGTTTCCTGTCCTTAATGTGTTCATCTGAGGTATTGAGTTGCTACTAATCCGTTTACTGGAAGGTCATAATTATTAACTATTTCATCTGAAATTATTTTCACTATATTAATTTTTGTACTGTGAATTGACTATGGCATGTACAATACTGGAAGAGATGATTGATTTTTACCAGGATTAGCATGCCAATGCATGATTCACTTCTGCAGCAAGTACTTGATACTTCAGAGGGGAGATGGCAGGGTGGAAAAAGCTACAGGACAACTATGCCACACAGCACCACTGAACCTAGTGACACGTGCTTTCGAAGTACATAACCACAATGTGGAACAAAGGCTTTTAATGTTCAAGTCTAGCAAAAGGTGTTCATTTCGAATTAGAATGAAGAGAGGAACGAAGAGACTGACAGACATACAGAGATTCAAAGTTAACAACAGCAACCTGAGATTTTTAGAGCAACCGAACAGATATATTTTAATTAGATTTAGAACAAAGATTGCTTTTATATCCTCCAGATTGAAAAGAAATTTCTGCCTCAGTAGAACTCTTGCCTGGGTTTTACTTTTTTTTTTTATTTTGAGCTTTCTCCTTAAGAGTTTCAGTCTAAGCTTTATCCTCTCCTCCTTTGAATCCCTCCCACTACAGTGGCTTGTTAAACTAAGTTGCTAACATTATTACTTACATGCAGTCTAGCAGAATCAACTGCATTTTCATACACATCATCTAAATAGATTGGAAAGACTGCTCGATGCCAGTATAAGAAACAACAGTCACATTGTGCTCGAACTCTAGAATACAAGATTACTTATTAGACACAGAATTGGAAGAAGCCGTTCTTCTAACACAGTGATATTTATTTTAGTGTGTTTAAACTAAAGACAACCACTTTTCAAGCCTAAGTTTTACATGGTTACTTTAATGTTCCAGACGCATTATCCTTCAAAAGAAAATTCTTTATTAAAGAACTTTATTTCTTGTTTTCCACTAGGCTATTTATAAATAAAAGGTACTTGGTTTAGAAAAAAAGGTTTACTTAGTCTCTGAAAGAATTAAACGTTACATTACAGCAGAGTCCTAAATAACTATTTTCTTACTGCATGCAATTAGCAGCCTAGAGGTCAAACATACATCCTAAGTTTCTCCTGTAAGTCAAAAAAGAGAAACAGGCCTCTCCTGATACAACCTGTGTACAATACCTATCCCAGGAATTTATCCCATGAGTCATCCGCTGAAGGTGTTTGTTTCTCTTCATAAAGTATACATGGAACCCAGATAGTCACCTGGCTTTCAGATGGCCAACATTATGTAACTTGAGCATCCACTGAAACTACAGCAGCAGTAAAACATGGTGTCACTAACAGCCTGATCTCCCAAACAGACTGGTATTAACTCATAACTTTTGGGTTTGGGTTACGAGGAAGACTTTAGCTTAACATGAAGCAGAGTCATCCACAAAAGTGACAGAATTTCTAAACAATCAGAGAAGTGGATTGCCAAATTAGCAACAATTAGGTAAAATATGACTTGCCCAAAGACCAGCAAGCTTCAGGCTTAGCTCTGGAATTTTTTCTGCCCATTCCTGATTTACAACACATGCAAAAACCACCACGAGCATGCAGCTACCAGATTTTGCAATTCACACAGTGACGATCTAGCTCCGCCAGTGACACCACACTGCCTTCTATATATTATGTGCCATTGCTTACCGCTCTGTAAGTTCACTGATCAAGTCTAGTTTTTTCAGAACTAACTGAAGGGGAATGAGCTCTTCATCTTTAAAAGTTTTCTGTGCAAGTGAAGAGAAAAAAGAAAAAGAAAAAAAGACAAGATTATATTTCTTTATAAGATAGTACATCAAACAAGCAAAGGTCTGGAACAATCATAGCACTTACCATCTGCGTTCCCACACTTAGTGCAAGGGAAACAATTAGTCGCCTCTGTTTTGTACTTGGCCCATTGAGGGTGTTCTCAGCCAACACCAAAGCAGAGAGGACATCCAGGCGTTGCTCACTGTACTTTTTATCAGAAATGACTCTTTTCTTGATGACAGAAAGACACAGAAATTCAGAGAAAAGTTACGTAGGCCCAAAGGCAATAGTTTACCTCTTCTTTCCAAAGCTTATAGACTTGTCATAAATTGAGTATTTCTGTGAACAGAGCTAACTGAATCCAGATTCACTTACTCTGTCAATTCAGTGATATTACCTATCTATACACTTGGAATGTGCGCAGTTCAGCGTGAACATGGGTCAAGGGCATACAGTACACAAATACCATGCAAGCTGCATGTGACTGCATGCCAATTTTAGTTCTAAGGTACATGTAATTTAGATTTTTTTTATTATTTTTTAATCAGTGACTCCCTGGCGTTGGTAACAAAATCCAGTTTACAGCTGAACAGCCAGAAGACGTATAAACATTGCAATAATGATAAACTTGCAATTTTCTACAAATTCTAATTTATCAGAAAGATTAAATGCAAACACATTTGCATGAACAAATGAAGGGAACTGAGTCTTCTGACTAAGAAGCTGAAGTCACAGATGTATTTGTGAGTAGCAGCGTAACTCAGAGAGGTACAGTTTCATGAAAGACTTAAAGAAAACCTCTTCCAATTCTAAGAAAGTATGTCCAACACAAAGCTCCTAACCTTACATAATAAAGCTATGTTACCTAACATATGCCTTAGACCTTACACCACTTAGAAACAAAGTGGAGCAGATAAAAAAAAGATTAGTACCAATGAATTCTTCTATTTACCAGCATTTGCCTTTTACATATTTTCTGAGTAGTCATCAAAATATCAATTGTTCATAGACACGCTCTCTTTGATATCCCTCAATACCTAAGTCTCAGCATATTTCTATGCGCTTAGAAATAATTTGTAACGTAATTACAGATATCATTTGAAAAGGTTATGCAAGTTATCTAAATACATGTCAACTGTTTGAAGCCAGAGTTTTTCTTTGTAGCTTTGAAGCTTGGAACTCCTTCAGTTCATGTACTCCTGAGATAGATATGGAGATGCCAGACACATAAAAACTGAGACGACAGACAAAAAGAAAATTTAATAGCTGCACTGATATCAATAGCATATGTCCTCTGTAATTCTGCTATTGAATGTGATGAAAGAATAAAACAACAACCAGTAATACATCAGAACAGGTATACTAAAATCTCATTTTCCCATTTGCCCTGAATTCAGAAATTCAAGATTTGATAAGCAAAACGTGTAGGAAACTCATCTTGTTTATAAAAAGACATAATGCGTAGGTATTACAGCGTCTCACAATCAGAAGCCATTTTACCCCACAGCAAAATTGTGAATTTATGCCTCCATCAGACTCTGGTAAGCCATCATGTATTAACTGCTGCTATTTTGCCAAGTAGACAAAGATTTAAATACATAACAGCCTGTTTGCTTAGACCTGTTTGCTTTAAGAACGTGCATCAGAAAAGAGGTAAGAAAAGGTCAGTTTGCAAAAATCACTAGAAATAAAAATTAAAAAGAACACAAGAGGAATGTGACAAGAGATGCAGCAGTTTAGAGAAAGAGAGGAACCATTCTTGGTCAAAAACAGATAACCATTTATGCTGTACAGTTTCTAGGGCAAAGTTCCGACCTACTGGAAAGCTTATATATCTGTCCATTATGATAGAGCACTACACTACAGATTTTGCAAAAGAAAAATACTTAAATTTAAAATTAAGATTTTTTTTTTTTTTAAACTCTTAGATAGGAAGATTATTCATTAGAACTTGCATTACATACCTTGGCTACAGAAATAGAGCGAAGAGCCTGATACTGCAGATGCTGAGTGATGTGTGTCACAGAATCTGCCACAACCATACTTCTTCGGTAAAACATGTGTTCTATTGCCTAAAGTCAATCCCAAAACACAATAGTTCATATAGTTAACAAAACTGTTGCCTTTAGCATTTGGCTTTATGCTGGTTGACTCATCCACACTACAAATACAGTCTCTTTCCACTTTGTAATGTGCTGTTAGTAGCAGTTGCAATTAACCCTTAGAAACTGAGAAAATCAAACCATTCAGGAGCATAAAAAAGTTTCAGGATTGATGTTAAGTTTTTTTGTTTTGTTTTTTAAATAATCCAGTTCTGTTCACCATTGCTTTCTGAAGTTGTATCAAAACAGGGTATCTTCCTTCTGGAAAAAGTACGAGTAGAAGTGCAAAGTCCTGCACCCGGGGAGGAACAATCCTATACACCAATACATACTGGGAGTCACCCAGCTCGCAAGCAGCTTAGCAGACAAGGACCTAGGGGTTCTGGTGGACACCAAGTTGAACATGAGCCAGCAGCATGCCCTTGCCGCAAAGAAGGCTGATGGTAACTTTGACTGCACTAGACAAAGTACTGCCAACAAGTTGAGGGAGGTGATCCTTCCCCTCTAAGCAGCACTGGTAAGGCCACACCTGGAGTACTGTGTCTAGTTCTGGGCTCTTCAGTACAACAGAGATATGAACATGCTGGAGAGAGTCCAGTCAAGGACCATGAAGATCATTAAGGGACTGGAGCATCTCGCATATGAGGAAAGGCTGAGAGAGCAGGGACTCTTCAGCCTGGAGAAGAGAACACTTAGGGACGGAACTTATTAATGTACATAAATACCTGAAAGGAAGATGCAAAGAAAATAGAGCCAGGCTCTTTTCAGAGGTGCCCGGTGACAGGACAAGAGGCAATGGGCACAAACCAAAATGCAGAAGGTTCCCTCTGAACATCAGGAAACACTTTCTTACTGTGAGAGTGACTGAGCACTGGCACGGGAGTCTCCATCCTTGGAGATATTCAAAAGCTCTAGGTGGCCCTGCTTGAGCAGGAGTTTGGACCAGACAACCTCCAGAGGTCCCTTCCAACCTCAGTCATTCTGTGACACCAACTAAGGAAGCCGGTTAGAAGTTACACAAAAATCAGTTCTAGCTTCCCAAATCTCCTGTTCTCTAACCAAATCCAGTCTTGAACAAGGAGTCATCCATGCAAAAACACTTCCCATAACAGTTTTTTGGTTTTTCTTTTTTGTTTGTTGTTGTTGTTGTTTCTTTAAATATGTGATGTTTGATCGATGTTCTCTGTAAAGGTCTATATGAAGCAAACAATGTTCATCCAGTGACCTACCTTCAGAAGTTCCACAAGTCTGCATAGAGCTTTCACCGAGGTTTTGGTCATAGGTTTTTGCATTGACATGTAGAGATTCATTGTAGTTTTAATGGTGGTGCTAAGACTGTATGCATAAAGAAAACCCTAAAAATAAAATGAGTATGGGGAGGGGGAAGAATATTGGGGAAGAATATTTTCACAACATAATCAATCAAGTCAGTCCTCTCTGTTTTCTTTCATACATGATAGACAGCTAACTTTTGCCTTTTCACATTAGAGAACCTACCACGCAACTTAATAAGCAAGCCTGGGATCTCAAAGCTGAATGAGACCCTTTTACGAGGCAGACATTATGAAATTGCCTACAAGTCACCAGATCACCTGATCATTAACTTCTTATAGAGCCATTCAAATTAAACATAGGTCAGTGAATTAATCACACAGCTTCAAAGGTCTAATAATTTTGGACCCACTGTAAACCAACCCATCATAAAACTCCCGTCCCCCTGAAAAACAGCCTGTCACAAAACCACCTAAAACTTCCAGATTCTGTGGAATCAATATACTGATAGTATTCACACAGTTCTACGTGTTCTAAATAGAACTGTCCATACCACCATAAAAAAGCAATCATTTCTAAACTAATGTATGCTAAGCTTTTAAACACAATGTTGATTACACAGCATGACAAAAATGTTATTCAACTTATTTCAAAGGAAAAGTAGCAACAATAAAAAAAGAGACTAGGAAAAGACAGCAAGTGGTGTAGGAAATTAAAATTTTGCTCTGTAGTGAACTGAAGTCCACTGCAAATAATTCAAATATAAAACCCACAGATCCTAGTACATGTATGTCTTTAGATACGGAAGATTCAGGATCATGCTTCTATGACACAACTATTCTCATCAGATTTCTGTCAGGCTGATAGACATATATAATAACCAGCAAAAAATAAATTCAGAAATAAGATGCATCTTACATTAAGACTACATGCTGTTAGTACGCCAAAAGAAAACCAGCTGCCTCAGAACGTAGTAAGTTTCTTGCAAAGTACCATCACTAGGCAAAGCACAATAAAACAACACAAAACCTTTACTGGAAGTATGTACTGTGCTAAATAAAACTATAGACACCGGTTCAGTCTGTTATGTACCTCATGACTGACTCAAAAGGAAAAAAGCCCAAAACTTTTACTACAGAGGAAACTAAGCTTTCTTAGCCACTCAATGTTTAGGCAGATTCACTTTCTCCACATGCCATACGGAAAGGCCTTTTACAGATTTACTTAAAAGAGTATCTACCGGGTATTTAAAGTTTTAGAAGAATTCCCACATTGTAAAATAACACACCAATGATCACAGAACTTCTGTGATTTCCTTTTATGTTCAACAACTTGCACCAAAACATCAGTTTGCTGCATCATTTGGTGCATCACCACATTAAAAGACTGCACACCTGGATGAAGACATTGCAGCGGTTAGAAAGATCTTCAGCAACCTTATCCATGCGTTGCTCCTTTGACAAGATAGATTCCATTTTTGTCATCCATGAGCTCACAAAAACATAATACGACTGCACTCTGGAGAAAAAAACAGAGAATGTTGCTCACTTCAAATCAGAAGAGTATAAGGATTTTCTTTTCTCTTTCCAAAGTTTAAATGCTTGCAAGGGAAATATGTTAAATCTTCAGTCCCCAAAATATTAACTCACCATTCCCAGAAGTATCAGAACCTCATACTCATTTACATTTTAATTCTCTATAGCTAAGGATTAGTTAGTTTGCCAATTGTATCTGCACAAGCATACCCCAAAAAGTCAAAATTACCGATCTTTCAAGAGAACAAATGGCCGTCTTAGCAGTACATATACTACACTTCCTGAAATTAAAGCAATAAATAAAACTGCTAGAAAATGCTTTTAAACACTAGACAAAAAAGTCCTACACTGATGTTAATTTGTTTACTCCAAGTTTGAATTTTTGTTATATACATATCTATATACACACATATATATAAATACCACTTGCCATTACATCAATGCAACTGGACTGCTCTTAAATAACATAATTCTCCAGAAGTTAATCTGCCTGAATTACACTAGTTGTAATCAAATGTTTAAATGAAGTTCACTTTTAAAACTGCTATTTATTCCATGCTACAGAACTGTAACACTGCAATACTAATTATTGTAGCAGTTCTAGCAGGAAAGTATTCAGGTCATTGATTACGACATCAAAAATTACACTTTAAAGAGTACTCATATTTAAGGCAACAGTCCAATTATCAAAGGCAGTGCAAGAATTTGTAAAAAAGCAAGAAGTTGTTATTGGCAGAATTCAAATCAGCAGATGCAAAATCTGGATTTTATTACAATATCCTCAAAACTGCGCACCCAAAGAAGGGCAACGAAGGTGGCGAAGACTCCAGAGAACAAGTCCCATAAGGAGTGACTGAGGGAACTGGAGTTGTTTAGCCTGGAGAAGAGGAGGCTCAGGGGAGACCTTATCGCTCTCTACAGCTACCTGGAGGAGGTTGTAGTGAGGTGGATGTCGGTCTCTTCTCCCAGGTAACAAGCAATAGGACAAGAGGAAATAGCCTTAAGTTGTGTCAGGGGAGGTTCAGATTGGATATTAGAAAAAATTCCTTCACTGAAAGGTTTGTCAAACATTGGAACAGGCTGCCCAGGGAAGTGGTGGAGTCACCATCCCTGGAGGAATTTAAAAGATGTGTCGATGTTGCACTTAGGGACATGGTTTAGTGGTGGACTTGGCAGTGCTAGCTTAACAGTTAGACTCAATGATCTTAAAGGTCTCTTCCAACCTAAATGATTCTATGATATGTCTGTGAATACCCAGATCTTTTTTTCAACCTTTTCTTAATCTTAAGAGCTGCAAGGCATGACTTGTACCACTGCCCAATACCAGAAGCAAAGCAGCAGTGCAATTATGCTCCATCCAGGAATTAAAGCCCAGGAAAGAATTCAGTCAGAACTCTTGAATCTTCCTGTGGATGTAGGACATAAACCAAGAAGAGGTGGACTGAAACAGAAACAGGGCAGTAGTGAAAATAACCTGCCAGAGGATCACGTAGGCACGGATTTGCTTTTCGTCCCTCCCTCCTCCCCTCCAACCCAATTCTGCCAGCTTGCATACAGGGTTGGAAGACAATGTGCAAAATGTAAGTTTCTACTCCTCTTCCACAGACCCCGTTTTCCACCTTCTTGTTTTGGTCTGCAACGTTAACAGAAATCTTAGCCCTGTTATCTCCCTATGCAGTGCAGCACACTTGCTCATAAGACTGACAACTGAAAAAATTCCAACTCATCTTTAAATTTATTTTAGAAAGAACTCAGACAAGTAAGTGACCTGCAAACTACACGCAGAGCACAAAACAAGAGGCCTTTTCAAATATAGATAATTTCAAAAACCATTAAACAAGCAATTAAAACAGTCATGAAGGAAGAAATGCTTGCAAAAAAAGTATCATCACCAAGCACAGAAAAACTACTCTAAGCGCCTACTAGTGACTTACCTCCATAAACACATAGAAAGCAGAGAGCCCTAACAGAAAACAAAGGAGCTCAAGTTACTAGACCCTAGTTTAAAAAAAAAGGAAGTTGAGAGTACGGAAATAGAAATAACTGAAACAATCAAATGTTTAGAACTGCCAGGAACATTGTTATTTTGGTGACATAATACACATTTTTCTGAAAGCATGACATGAAAAAAAGCTTAGTTTTGACCAACATTTTTTCAGCAACACTAACACACATATTGCTGCAGTGAAGCAAAAAAGTTGATTAACACCACTGAGCAACACCACACAACATGTTAGTACACTGAATGAAGAAACCCACATGTTTATAAACAGTTTGCCAAACAAGCATCATGAAGCAGTATTTATGAAGCATACTTGGCAAGTGACTGTGCCTTCTGCTGTAGAAAGTTCTCCCTTTGCATTTTAACTGTATGAATACTTTTCTTGTCCAGAAGTTTGGCAGCAGCTGGTATCTTCTGAATCAGAAAGTTGTCAGCAAACCAGATAATATTAGCAGTTAAGGTGATGGCTGGCACCTGGGGAGCAGGGAAGAAGAAAAAAAGGGAGGAAAATACTACAAAGTAGCAATAAACATAAGCAACTACAACAAATACTATGCCACCATACATGTTTCTTATGTCTCTTTTGAACCATAACACACAATTCGGTTTATTTCTGCATAACCAGTTTCTACAAAGTATTAGGTTCATGTTCAAAAAAGGTTTCTCCCCTAGAAATCCACTAAGGACACCACAGGCAAAGTTATTACCACTCTCAGCAATTCTAAACAGTATTAGAGAATTTAATAATTTCTTAATACCACCTGATATGAAAAAGCCCCAATCACCTTTGGGCTTACAGATCTTTCAAAATACATGTTTATAGCCAGCATTTATTTAGTCCCACAGCACTCACAATTCAAACAATTTTTTTTGTCCTCAGTGCCACATTAATCTTGAGAAGAAACATTTTAATGGTAATTTCAAGTTATTTTACCTTGCTGCTAAGTGAGTGCACAGGTTTTAGACCATCTTTAAAATAAAATGGGATGAGGAGGATTACAAAAAGTAGAAAAATCTTAATTCTTCTTTCTGACTTGTTTTGGAAAATTGTGTGATCTTTCTTTTCAAAAGTCCGTGCTATGCTGTGCAATTAAGAAAATTATCTACTTCATTACTGAAGATTTTTTCCCCCTCAATTATTTACAAAAGAATAAAGCAGTCACCTTTTTACAGACTTCCAACAACGATTTGTAAAACTTCTTGTCTATGGTCCGAAAAATCTGAAAATGCAGTACAAAGAGGCCACAAATGCCCACATATTTATCTCTCTGGTCAATTTCTGAAGGTTCACCTGTAGAAATAAATTTTTTTTTGAAGTCTATTCCCAGACAAACAATACAGACAATTTTAGAAACAGTAAAGCTGGCAGGAGAAGCATGAGGTTGCATTACCAAGTTTGACTTCAACATTTGCAAAAGCTGTGCGGAGAACATGAGCAAATTCTTCAGCAAACGTGCTGTTCTTCGACACTGACACTCCACCATTTACAGAATCGAACTGTTGCTCTATACAGGCCTGAGCAAAAGGGGGAAAAAAAAGGCATAATGATAATGCCATGAATTTTGGACCTTAAAAGTATACTGATTTTGCAAGAGAAGAATACTGCAAGAGCACATTGATTTAAGACTGAAGTTAAGTCTTAAACTTCAACATACAGATTTTTAACTATGCTTAAATTATTTGCTATAATAACAGAAAATATTAAAAACCTCTCTTATATCTAACATTCAAAGAAATATTTTGTTTACTTCATATTTCTGTTAAGGGGCATTTTTAAGGAAACCACTTGATGTGCTAGTGATAAGAAACTAGATGCGTACTTGCATTACTACATTATAATACGTTACTAACTATCCATTAGCTAAACAAGATTATCATGCAAGTCACTTGTAAGATGTGGTTAATGAACTTGTAGCAGAAAACCCCACATCACTGGTGGCAGTTTAAAAAAAAAAATCATCACCAAAACCCACAATAGCCAGAAAATGGAGACACTTCAGATTTCCCAGATATTAGAAAAGTCTTTAATGGAATTGTATTTAAGAGTATTTTTCATATATTTTTGTTAGGAAGGGGTATTTGCAGGACAGGAGTGGGAAACTTCCTGAATGAATACCAGACAAATTCTACTGATGTCTCAAACATGTAACAAAGTCTTTGTACTAATGCTGTATTAGAGAAATAGAAGATGAAAAATGGATAGCTGTTAGCAATGTCCTTTGAAAGAATAAGCCAAATTGTGCTTAATTATTTATCTACAATTTCACTTTTGGAGGCTTTTACAGAACAAAACCTTCTTCCCTATGTCATTTACGCATTACAAGATGTAACAATAAGAACTGAGCAACTGTCCTGTTCAATTGACTCTGCTGTGACCAGATTCAGCAACGCTATCCTCTACCTACTATGCCACAACATCCAATTTCAGTGTCTCAAATATGCACCTTTCTAAAAAAGATGGCTTCTTGTATGAACACATTTAAGTTAACTGTACTGAAAAAGTAACAATCCTTCTCATCCACCTGTACACTTGCATTTTCCAGGGGTATACACCCCTGAAGTGCTACCTAATGACAGCAACCTCTCTCATATGCTAGGAATGAGACAAAATACATAACAAGAGGTCACACTACATATTTTGAAGATTACTGGGGAGACTAACTTGCAGCTAAAATAAAGTGAACTTACGCTATGTAAGCCTGCCCACTATTAAAATTTCTGTGAAAAACAGACTCCCTGATAACACACCGTCCTAATGCCAAGTTGTCCGTGTTTCTTTAATTCTGGAAAACAGTAAGCATTAACTGCTACCATTCAAAGCCTGGCACAGTTCTAGCACACGAGAAGAGCAAGGAAGGATCTTACAATAGAGCCCTTTTTTTCCACCACCCCCCCCACGGACAGATGAAAGAGCCAAATTCACACATCACTGTATCCGGAACTACACAAAATAAAAACAAACAAACCAGTCTAAAAAGAACATTGCTTTAATGTAATAGTTTCCCATATCATACTGGGAAACATTAATTTCATTACCTGAAATATCATTCCATCAAGTAACTGGCATTCCAATTTTAACAGTAGCTTTTCAAAAGGCTTCAGTTTATCTTCTTGAATCCCAAACTTAGAAGGGTTGTGATGGACAGATTTTAGCAGCCTGTAAGGAGTAGGTACGGAACACATATATACAACACAAATAAAACATGCTAATAGTTTTATCATATCAGGTACTATTTTGATAATAGATTTTTTAATTGCCCACATCTGTGCCCAGCAACAACTCCAAAATCAGAAAAAAAAAAACAAAACCCACTAAGCCTGTATAAGCCATTTGCATTTGAGTAACTCCCATTTAGGTTTTCAATGAAACGGAGTTATTCTTCCGCTAGTTTAACTACCTTTATAATTGTTGACTCTTCAGATTTTACTTAAGATAGCATTCTTACTTAGCTCTGTATGCCCATCCCCATGATCAATATGGATAAGGATAGTCATAGATCAGTTTTGTACAAAATTAAGACTTCTTATTTAATATATTTTAACCCACTAACTATCACTCTGTCTGTCAACATGCTTACAGTGTATTGCAAATGTAGCATTCAGCACTTTAAAACTGGTGCTGTTAGAAGGACACAGTGTGAGCTTAGCCCTGCTCTTCACTGAGATTTCTGGAAAACTCTTGGGGCTACTAAAGTCCATGTTCCCACACTGACATTCTTGGAACAAAGACACATGCTTTTATCTTTTATGTTGTGGGAGTTTCACACCTTCACACACACACCTCTTATACATGGTCCAATGATCTTTCAGAGTGGCATGATTGTCAATTATTTCATCCAGAGTGATTAAGACTGTGAGCAACTCTCCCAGGTGCTCATACATTGCCTGTTTGGAGGGGGGGAAAAAAAAAAAAAGACTACAGTTATAGAAAAGTTTATTACAGTCATGCATGGCATATAAAATTTCAGTTCCTTTCAATATATTATCAGCCAACAAGACATCACCTAGAGAGTTAAATCGGAGATTTCTTGGTTTAGCAGCTTAAAGATTTAGTATTTCCTTGCAGGAACAAGGAACATTACTTTGCATGCAGGCATCGCTTTAAGTTCACTGATCTATTTCAACATTGAAGGTAAGATTTTTTTAAATTGTCTACATGCAGAAGCACATATTGAACATAATAAGGGAGCGTGCAAACACTTTTCATCTAAGAAAGCTAGAATATGACAGACATGGAGATATCAGGCTTTTCCAGGTAAAGGCCAAAAAATGTTGATTAACAAAATAAAACCTTTCAAGGAGATTCCAGATTGAAAGTTGTACTTGAAAGTTGTACTTGAAAGTCACTTTCTTGCTGCTTTTCTCAGGATTAATAAACAAGATATACATATATTAACACAAGCAAAAGGGTTCCAAATCATTCCCACCTGAAAATGTACTCCAGACGTCTCTATAATTTTAGGTGCATTCCTGTAAATAAAATAAATATTTTAATGCCTTTTTAATCCTTAGAACAGAGCATATTATCAATTCTGTATCACAGTGTGTTCATTGTTTCTTGGGGTACATTTTTCTTCATTAACATAGTAACTTCACAAAACAAAAGAACCTCAAAATCCAATTAAAAAGTATATGCTATGCGAAATGTGTGTGCTATAATCAAATTTAATATTGCAGTTTTAAATGTACAGTATGTGACTGGTTCAAAGCACTGACTGCATTCAGTGTGCATGAGTATTGGCAAGTCCCAATTCAGTTATGATAATAGCAAGTAGCCTTGTGGTCCAGGAGTACAAAATCACTTCACATATTTAATCAAGCCATGGCCAAACTACACATCCAGCCTTGTCCATTCAGCACCATACAGAAAGTCTGCTTTGTGTTGTAGTGTAAGACAAAAAATGAAGACAACAACCAAAACTAAGAATGATGCTATCCTATCTGGGGCGGGCGGGGGAAGGAATCAAGAGCCCTGCAGTTATATTCAGAGCTAAATCAATCCTATTCAGAGCTAAACTCTCCTCAGTTTTCAGAGGATCTAAACCCAACAGCCCTTACTAAACTCAATTTCAGGTGTTAAAACCATGGTTGTTTGTGAGGAATATATACAAAGATTTACATATTTAAAACAGACTGTGGAAGTAATCTGATTTTAAAGCTTCTGAAGCTACTGGTACCCACTGTATCAGTCAACAGAAGGAATCTCTCTCAAACAGAGAAAGGATGCAAGAATAATAATATCTCTTAATCATAAAGAGTAAGTTCCTCTGAAGCATCAATTCTATCAAAAAATGACAAAAAAAATTTCTTGCATCTCATTATATAAAAGCACTGCCTTTTCCAAAAATAAAACAAATCCACTTCCATAATGGCTTATGAAGCCCAAACTCACACAGCAAAGCACTAGACAATAATATTCCAAAAACAACTATGCCTTGGACAGAACGTTCATTTTTTATACATTTGTTTAACTACTGAAAAACAATTTAGCATTTTAGGGAATAATTACTTGTTGCTGGTATAGAGAAGAGCCAACTGATGCACTACATTCACCACCACTTCGTAACATCGGGTAACGAAGCAAGACAGCTCCTGAAATATAAGAGAATAAAATGTATATATAGATATAGACCTTCCTCACACACAAGTTGTCATTATATTCAAAACACTGAACATAAACCACTGAACTTGCAGCCCAAGCTCCAACTACATGCCTAATTCGAATCAGTGGACACACCTACAGCGGGATGGAAAACACCCTCCTAACAGCTCCGAAAAATGATCTGGGACTAAGCTAAGAAGGTACCAAACACAAGCTTCCAGTACAACTTGGATTATTTATACTATTGGTTCAATTTATCAAAGACAGTAAGAAATGGCTTGACAACATTGCCCAAGTACTTTCAGAGAGAACAGGAGCTGGTGATAACCAAATTCAAATTAGAAAATAACACAGAAACCTGTACCTACTGTAAAAGCGGTAAGCCACAGACTACCACGTTCAAAAAAAACAAGACAATGTCTTTGAGAGGTATGCTTGATTAAAGCAGAACTTGAGCTCAGTTATGTAGTACAAAATGAGTAACAACAGGTCAACCCTGACCACTTAAAGGACTATCTTAATTTCTATAATGGATTTTAACAAGGCATTCCTTGAGCAACAGGATAAATTAATCTGAGATTCCCTTAACTGCAGTAATATTTGCTCATTAATGTACCCTATAATCCCATGAGGGAAAAGTCAGCATGTAATGGGTCTAGCCAGTCAGCATACAGATGGCTTCATAGCAAACAGCCCACACTGGCTAATCAGCCAGCCTGCCATTCCTGCCAGAAGACTGGCTAACAGCTGAATTTTCTCTTCGTCTCCACCAAAAATAGATCTTATTTGCGCTTCTGCCTTCTATTAGACATCAGTTTTCACAAAACAGAAGTGTCATTACTTACACTTGTATTGCTCTAACAAATGCATCTGAAACAAGCCAGCAGATTCCAGAGAAATGGATAAATAGGCAACTGAGATCACGTTTACTAGGAAAAGGGCACCAGCTTAAAACTTCCAGGAAACAGTCCAATTTAACAGCACATGCATTTTAGCAGCTACGTAATATAGACAAGATAATTTTATCAGAGTTCTTCAAACACACTGTCTTCTGCAGGATCAAGAAACTAACTAGTGTTTCTAGTTAATCAAGAAATCCTGAACTCAGAAGAACAAATAAATCAATACATGGACATAAGCTCTATGAAAGCAACATTTCAGCTCTTATGTCAGCTTCATTTGTATCTTCACACCGCCCTTGGGGATATGCTTATAACATTGACCAGAACAGCATTTCCCAGCCTATGGATATAGACTACTACTGAGTGGATTTAGGGGAACACAACAGTTCAAAAAGAACAAACTCAGTACAGAAAAAGTTTTCCTCATAGCTTTACCCAAAGCAATACACACCTGCTAGCACAGTAACCCTCCCTTTAGGGTAACATCCTGCATCTCCCTTCTTTCTCAGGTTGCTCAACAATCAGCAAGCCACCGTAGCATACATACAAAGTAGCCTCAAAAGCAAAACTGCCATATTTTTGTGCAGCATTTACCCTATAAAAATACACATCAGCATATACCCCATAACATAAACTTGTTCTACAGAGTGGGTTTGCAATGCACACAGATATCCAGACAGCCAGTGCCCCTGCTCTCAACTTCCACATGGACAGAGCATCCTGGCAGGAAAAACAAAGAAAAAAGTCTGGAAAAAACACAACTGTACAGAAGCCCCATTTCAGAACCACTAAAAGGTCTCAAATATCTGCTCAGAAACAAATAGAGGAGGAAGGATGAAACTGACAAAGCTGATAGAATGAAAAGCTCAAAAAATGGGGAAAAAAAACCCCAAAACCTAAGATATCCTAACAACTAACTGCACTTGGGCATCGTAAAAGAAGTTGAGAAACAACTGCCTATAGAATTCAACCTGTTATGACTCAGTAAATCACTACTATACAGCAAGAACAGGAATTCTACCCTTTGCTAAACTAGAATTTGTTCAAACATTCTGGAAGCTTCCTGTATATTCTCTACTTCAACACAGATATTTCATTACAAGCAATATTGCGTAAAAATAAAAACATTTGTGGGAACAGGACAGTTACTTAAGCTAAAGACAAAAAATTCCACAGTAGACTGAAACCCAAGAGCACAGGAAATCCTTAGAAGAAACACAGATTCCGTTTTCATGCAAAGGACCCTGATAACCACCAAACCGTATAACAAATGAGTGTTTTTCCTGGAAAGTTTGAGTGAGGCACGAGCAATTTTTTTCTAGGTACATGTTTTAATTTGTTTTACTTCCAGCAGCTAAAACAAAGATACATAAACAATTAATCCATTCCCAATGTTCAATGAAAACTAAAACTTACTAATCAAAACCATAAAAATAGATATCTTGAACTTTATCATCAAATGATACAACCTCAATTTATCTTCTCTTACTGAAATTTTCTTAAGTAAATTCTAATTTCTTTGAGCAATGATTACACAAACTGTAATTGCACCTGTCATTAGAATTCCAGAGTTTCAGACAAGTACAATAAAAAAACCCAAACAACCTGTGATGCATCAGCTGGTTGTGACAAGTCTGTGGGCAAAACATAGTAGTGTATCAAATGACTGCAATGCCTTTCAGCAAGATGCAAGCAGGATACCGCAGACTGTTAAATCCACTTTGCAAGTAAAATTAGGATTATAATTGCTGTAAAAAAAAAAAAAAAATCACATACTCTACCTGCAAGAAAGAAACAAATCTTCCCATCTGTATTTGGCAATCTCCCTCCACCATGCTGGAATCTGTAGCTTAAAAGACAAACATTTGTCACCACTTTCAAAAGCCTGTGTTAAACCTGTTAAATAACATTGAAGCTTGCCCTCCAAGCCATTTGTTTGTCATACAAGTGGAGCACACTATTATAAGCATACTGATGGGAGTCTTAAGAACTTTTAATTTTGCTTTCCTAAGCTGGACTTATTTTTGAAGTTTCTTTCTCATTAAAAATTACATTCTTTGTAAGTTAGACACAAAGCAAGAAAATAAGTCTCAATCATCTGAAACAAAATAAAGAATACGAAACATAATTCTTTAAAGGCATATATATTATGTAATGTCATATAGAAGTTTCCATTTTTAAAAGCTTTCATGAAAGGACTAGGTATTTATACTGCAAGGAACATCCACTGAAAGAATATACTACACCATTTATCAGAAGAAAAAGCCATGTAGCATACAATTTCCTCAAGAAATTTATTTTCTTTTTCCTACATATCATCCTGCACAAAAGAACCCGCTCAGCCCACAGCTTCAAAGCATGACCTGTATGACAAAGTACACTAATAGGATAATATGAAATAGAATAATTACATCACCAATGCCAAATTGTTTCAGTCAGTTGGAACAGGTGTAATACTACCTGACAAAATACAGTCTTTTTAATACGATGACAGATTAATGTTCTAGACTTGGGATTTTGCTACTGGGACACTCTGAGCTAAAATAGCTTACAATTGCAAGTTTATCTGCACAAGGAATGCAGGTCTTATCACTTCATAAAACATGTTATTTTAGAGTAGTCACCAGAGACTAAAGGAGTCTCCATACTTCTGTAAGATGGAGCTCTGGGACAAAATTCTACGTATCGCATGCCTCCCCTTTGCACATTTTATGTAAACTTTACTCTGTTTAGTGTACGTCCTATAAAAACCTATCCAACTAACTATTTAAAGTTCCTAGACTAGCCCTAGACACTCCAAGGACAAGACAAAAAAAAAAGCCTCTTTATACAGAAGGAAAAGGCCAGCACAGTATTTGTTTACATTTCAACCATCCTTTAGTTGGTAACTTTGCCAGCTGTTCTAAGTAAGCAAGCTTGCTGTTATCAAAGCAGATGCTACAAGGAGGGATATGGAAGTGGAGAACATAATTTCTGCATCCCTACATAACCCACAGAAGGCTGACCTCTCAGTTCCTGCCATTCTCAAGCATTCTGTGCAGAACACCCACCACAAACAAACTGCTGTTGTAACATGTTAATCTGCAACAGTCTCATTTTTTTCATGCTAGAGACATGGAGAAGTTTCCAGGTATCCCCTAGTATCATTTTGACAGCATATCACTTTCTTTTAAGATATTTAAAACCATGTCTGATAAAAAAGTGAGAATCTGCTAAGAAAAAACAAAACCACACTTTTTCATGTTCCTTAACTGAACCACAACAGTCATCTTATATAGCACTTAAGAATGATAAACAGTCCCTAGCTCAAAGATTTCACATTCCCCAATACTTCTGTCACAGTCAAGGCTCTTGAAAAGCTTTTTAAAAAGCCCTTCTACAAGACTACTATGAGAAGGTCTTTCCTTTCTCTCAAATTTCTGAAATAGAAAACAAAGTTAGGTAATATGTCTCTAAATTAACTCAATAATACATTCAGTCCTCATGTCCAAGATCTGTCCTTATTTCCAGGCCAGCATCCTTCAAGGTGGAAGCTTAAGACTAATCCTTTGGAGGAGTTACAAGTTTAATTCCAAGACAAAAAGCAGCCTTCACCTAAAGCAGGGGCTCATGATAGGCCTTACAATCACTTACGCCCCTGTATTATGTCATGGTCTAAACAATAGTACAAGTACTATTACCTGCACTTGAAGGGCAGGTGACATTAACACACTGCAACTTCTCTTGGAAAAGCTATGATTGCATAAGTAAAGTAGGCAGGACTTGGTCCGAGTTATTTATTAACGGTTTCATTGCTTTATAACAGTCAAGTTACAGATTTACTGTTTTACTACAACCAATGAAAAGTCTAGTCCCAATAGGAAATAAGTTGGTTTAGGATGTGTTTACATGTGAAAAACAGGTTTTCAATGCCATACTTGGAAAAATAGCTGCTACAATATATAAGCTGTATGTGATATGTTTAATACAACCTCAACAGCCCATAAGCCCTACTCCTCCTGTAAATAAGGCTGCAACAAGACTTCCTGTTAATGTAACAATACTTACTGCAGGTAACAGGGCTTTACAGATAAATCTTATTGTTATCTTAACCTAACCGTCCTGGAGCCAAACCAGGACACTAACTCAGGACAGTAACGTTACTAACATATATCCCTACAACATCAAAGTCCACTATTTGGTGTTCATCAGTCAAAGATACAGAGAAAGCATGTATCCATATTATAAAATCATACTTATTGTAACATTTAATACAACCTGAAGCAAGAACTACAAACTTTTACAGTAAAGGGAGCTACTTACCTCCTTCTCCATAAAACAAGAGGCCATTATAAAATTTAGTTTCTGCCTAACAACAAAAGCAGAAATTTGTTTTTTAATAAATAGGATATATGTAATCATGCTACAAAAATTATTTAGACATATCTTGTTTCTTTACTGCTAAAGAATAAATCTATGTATCAGCTTGCCAATCTACAAACATTTCCATATACAGTAATAAAACAGCTGAATTTACCTCGTATTTTAACTTCTTGATTTCACAGCAAAGAGCAGCATACACAGTTATTACTTTGTTTAGAACCTAGACTCAAAGAGGAGGAAAAAACCACACAGATTACGAATAAATTCACATTTAGAAGGCTTGGTTTTAGCTAGAATAACTCTTTTTTTAAATTTTTCTTTTTTTTTTTTTTCTTTTAAGCATCAAGCATTTACCTTGTTTTCTGTCTTTATAAGCTCCAGTAGGGAGGACTGTTCATATGGCAAAAGCTAAAATTAAAAAAAAAACAAAAACACAAGAAAAACCCCAAACAAAAACCCCAAAACAAAACAAACAAAAAAAAAACCATAAAAAAACCAAACAACAAAAAAACACAAATCAACAACTTTAGAAAGTATTGGTGAAAAATACATTTATCCAACAAGGTCAGTTCCCCTCCCCTCCCAGTTTAATCTCAAATAGATCAGTAATAAGAAAGCAATAATTGCACATTACCAGCAACCTACGCTGCAGGAAACCTGCTCTTCACATTTACATAGAAACACCTTTCCTCTTACTCTAGGCAGAAAGGTACAACAATTTACTTACAAAATTTGGAAAGCAAAAGCATGGTCATTATGCAGTATGTAGAAAAAAACCCCAGCTAACAGGAAACCTAAAACATGAATTAAGAATCCCAGGAAACAGGATGCATGATGTGTATCTGTATGCAGGCACTGACATTTTGTACTGAAGTCAGCCATGATATTGACTAGTTCATATACATCCAGCACTGTGGTGACCCTACACATAAATTTATTCCAATTATTGAGACAGATGATTGCTTGAGAGCGCATCTTCAGCACAGACAAGTTCCATGTGGTAATAAAAGTGCTTTTAAACAATGTCTGCAAATTCAGTGAAGAGAAAAAAAAATAATGCTCCACAGAGGACAAGGAACTTACTACCAAGGTAAAAGCCACCTCTGGAGGACAGAAAATACTGTACCAAGGCCACCAAAACACAACTATAAATACAGACACATTTTGCTCTGCAGTTATACAATTATTAGTGAGCTCTTCCAGAACCCCAACCCTCAGATAAAAACACCAGCACCCACAGGGAAGAAGTTTGCTGGAATTAGCCTTCCCAACACATGATGAACTATAAATTCATTTCCACTAGTATCCTAAAGACTGGAAAATAATAATAAAAAAAACATCTCTCATGACATGCACCAATTTATCAATTACTTGATAATTAAAATAGTATTGGGTAGATTTCTCAAACACAAAAGTCAAAATCTTAACAGCACAAATGCATCAAGCTTTTACTTCGCAGGTTTTGAAGGGAAGAAGGAACCAGGAAAGTAACAGTTGCAATGCATATTAAATATATGAAGACCTTTAATGCAATGGGATCAAGACTGAAGTCCCAAACATCTCCAACAGAGTCATCCAAAGCATCTTCAATTCTCTTCAGCTGAGATGTATATTCCTCAAGAAATTTTCCGTAATTCTTCAACTGCACTTCAGCATGAATTTCTGAGAATTGATAACATTTGTACAGTTTTATAGATTGTTCAGTAAACTGCAATATCAGAAGTTCTATTAAAAAATATTTAATCTGTTGCTATTTAGTTTTATTACTGTATTCCTCATTTTGCTGCGGCACTTTTCCTTAATACAACCGCATCTTTAACACAACGTTCTTATTTGTTTAAAAACAATCCTACAACTTAGTGTTCATTTAAAAGAAATCCAAATACTACTTAAAAATATGAAACATTTAAGTGGTTTGCAAAAAATTATTTTTTAAATTTACATATATTTTCAAACTAAGATCTTAACAAACCTAACAATCACATCAAGATGCTAAGCAAAGAAACGACTGTAGAAAGCACAACACAGCAGGTGATTCTACCCATTGGCCGAGCCAGTACATATGCAATTATATTAGAACTTTGGGGCAATGAGTCTAATCATTTTGGCCTAAGTAGAAGTTGAATTAGTAGCAATCCTCCTTCCACCTTCTCCCTGTTACTTCTCAGTAAGTTATTTGGGCATTACACAGGAAGTTTATGGCTTTTAATCATTCCCCCCACTTGCAAATTCACCATCTTCAAGCAGAACTTTTCTTCTGCTTAGCACCTGGACATTGAAACACACAGCTGTCCTGTTACTGGTAGGGGCAAGCAAGTTCAAAAGGCAACATTCAGCTGGTCAAACACTAAGAACAGTGGTATTAATCAGAAAGTAAGTCTAAAGACGATGGGTCCACAAAAGTTTCATCCATTCTATCCTCATCTTTTTTCTTCCCACATTAAGACAGTCCCCACTCCTCCCCAAGTTACATACAATTACTAACTTAGTTGCATAACCTGAACTACGGAGCGAATGATTACAGCTCAAGGCTTCTATGCTCGGTAAGCAAGTGCAATCTTTTTTCATGTGAAGACTAAAGTGTCTTCCCCATAATTAGATAACAAACCTAATAACTTTTTTAGATAATCCTATTTTCAACCAATAGCAGGTCACAAGCTAAGAGAACGTAAGTCAGCTGAGCAACTCAACTTTTCCTAAACAAGAATTCAACTCTCACATAGATTTATACGTGCCCTTTTCACACTTCAGCAAGTAGGCTGCCCTAGAAAGTTAAAACACTTATTCTTTTATTCTGCATGTTCAACTTCTTACTCATCCACATTGCCAATAACTAAGCCAAATGGTAGTTGATGGCTACTCCACTGGGAGAGCACTGCTGAATCAATTATCACTTAGACATTTTTTGGAGAAAGAAAATATTTGACTGAGCGACTGCACCAGGCATAAGGGGAGCAACGAATAAGGACAAATTAAGAAGGAAAAGATGAGAAGGACTATGCACAGGAAGGCTGAGACTGAAAAGGAGAAACGACTGCAGTGTGTGAACTAAAAGTCCTGAACTAAATCTAAGCTACTATGTCAAAGCCAGCAGCATTAGCGTCATTGGGTTCTACCTGTACCTGCAGCCTAGACAGTGCACAGGCACTGGCAAAATAAGGAGGCTGAATTTCACATAAACAGGTAAGAAACCAGCGAACAAACAACTCTCCATCAGCAATACGCACTCCAGACACTGATGTACAGCCCTTCAGTTGCATCGTCATATGGTTCTATTCCATCAAATTCATCTCATCTTTCAGGTTCCTTCCAGTGCATCTTCTGGAAGCTCTGCCGCAGAAAACCAGTAAAACACTGATGGGTGTAGAATCCTGCAGAACGGAGTTTAACTAGCCACCATGTTGGCTTCAGTACTTTACTGCTAGAAAATCTGGAGTATGGAGACTTATTATTGTAGAGGTATGCTGCGGTATTCCCCCAATCCCATCTCCTCCCTTCAAACAAAAGACAAACTAAGAGCAGAGAAAGTGACAGAGATATTGGGGCTTTATAGGAAGAACAGAAAATGCTTCCAAGTCACACAAGAGTAGGAAACTGGCACTGCTGCTCAAATCAATTCTCTACGAAACAAGCAGCATTTCTCAAACAAAATCTCACACCAACACTCTGCTAGAAACCCACAAACTGTCACCTTTCCAGCAACCAAATGATGGATTTGAACAATGCTATAGCTCAACATAACCAACTATTTAATATTTTCAAATACTTAACTATTGATAGCCACCGATTTGCCACATTGTACTGATTATATATGAGACAGGTGTGAATAATTTCTCACTATTCTAGAAATGCAAGAGAGTAAAAGCTATTAGCTAGCCAGAGATAGGCAGGGTTGGACTGATAAAAAAATCACTTGGGAGATAGGGGAAGCTTTTTAAGATGCACAAAAATTTTCCTAAATAAACTGGCTTACATGGAGAAAGAAAAAGAAATCACAGAAAGCAGATATTTTCTTTTCCTTTAGGACAGCAGACATACTTCATAAGGTATAACCTGTTTACAATAAAGTCTGATTTAGTTTCTCCTCAGGTGATAAAATGAAAACATCACAATTGGAACAATACAAGAAATCTACTCAGCAGTACAGATCTCCCAACTTAATCTTATCTTCTTCCCTAAAATCAGCAATATCAATATTCAATGGACTTATTGCCACAGCAGGATTTGCAAGTGCTATGTCCATAAACATCTAGGACAGAGATGCAACAAACCAGACTTACTTAGTATCTTGTGTCCTCAGCTGAGGACATTATAATTGCTAAAGGTTAGTGATGTAGGTATAAAATGAAAGTAGACAACAACAACAAAACATGTTTTTCAAGTCACAAGATTTTTCTTTGGCTTTTCTCTAGGAGAACGTTGTGTGTTGTTCTCAATGGAAGATCAGCCTGTTTGTTCACCATCAAGATGGTAGTAATGGAGCATATTATGTCATGTAAAGTTCTCATAGCTCCACTTAATGTCACAGTCAAACTAGTAGAAAGCTGGCATTTTGAGTAAAAGCTGCATTTTCCATTCTGCAGCTAGAGAACTGGTAAAAGTCTGGGCTCAGGACAGCTTCAGTTTCCACTGAAATCCGGAATAAATGAATATGGCATAAACTGTATCATCCCTAGGGATAACATATGTGAAACAGTTGGACCATGAGTGGCATATTTTCACAGCAACACCCGGTGTAATTAATTTGGCACAGCTCAATTTATCGTGTGTATTACAGTATGATAACCATATACATTCCCTGTTTAGAAAGTAGGTCACCTCCACAGCCAGAGAAAAACGTGGATTTTGATGGGCACACAAACCCACTGTCAGACTTAAGTATCACAACGTCTTATTTAATTATTTTTTAAGGGTGAAACCACAAGTGATACCCCAACTCCATGCCAGAAACCCTTTATGAACAGAAGCTGCATACAACTAACTTATCTTGATATGACTTCTCTGGCTAACCGAGAAAGCAACTGGAAAAATTTGTGAGCCACGAGAAATGACCGGGAAGGAAAGAAACACCACCCCCACGACGAGCATCTGTTCCTCCTGCCCGGTTCATGCAAGAAAAGAAAGTCACGCAAGCCCGCCTGCCCGCTCCCTGCCACACCGGGGGCACTGGAGACGACTCCCTAGAGGGAGTAAAGGATGAAGGGTTGGAAAAGCTACTCTCTCACCCCACACAGCCCCCGACAACTCCAAGGAGGGTGGTGGGAGGAAAAAAAAAAAGTCACCGCGACAGCCCACCCCCGCAGGCCTGACCGGAGGACGAACAGCACCCGGCTGGCGGCCGGG